CCCGGGAGGCCCTGGGAGCAGGCCGCGCCGGGCGCGGGTCCGCAGCCGCTCTGCAGCTCGGGTGGCTGTGCAGGCGTCGGACTGTGCAGGCCTGGGGCCTGAGTGCAGCCTCCACTGCCTTCCGTGACTGCGTGGCCTCCGGTGGGGCACTTGAGCGCCCGGCCTCAGTGTGCCCGTGTGTTAAGTGGGGATGACAGCCCGTTTCCTGTCACTCGGAGAAATGAATGTGGGGGCTGTCGGTGCTTGGGGTGTCACCCGGGAAACGGCTGTGTGGAGCCGTACCACAGTCTCCTCCGTTCCCCGGGCACGGAGCAGGCGCAGAGGAGGCTGGCGGGAGCAGGGGACAGGGCAGCGTGGGGAGGTGCGCCCAGCAGGGTCGCCCTGCGGTCAGCGGCTGCTTCTCTTCCCCAGACCATCCTGGACCACATGCATCTCAAGTGCAAGTGCCACGGGCTGTCGGGGAGCTGCGAGGTGAAGACCTGTTGGTGGGCCCAGCCCGACTTCCGCGCCATCGGGGACTTCCTCAAGGACAAGTACGACAGCGCCTCGGAGATGGTGGTGGAGAAGCACCGCGAGTCCCGCGGCTGGGTGGAGACGCTGCGGGCCAAGTACGCGCTCTTCAAGCCGCCCACCGAGCGGGACCTGGTCTACTACGAGAACTCGCCCAACTTTTGTGAGCCCAACCCAGAGACAGGCTCCTTTGGCACCAGGGATCGGACTTGCAACGTCACCTCCCACGGCATCGACGGCTGTGATTTGCTGTGCTGTGGCCGTGGCCACAACACGAGGACGGAGAAGCGCAAGGAGAAGTGCCACTGCATCTTCCACTGGTGCTGCTACGTCAGCTGCCAGGAGTGCGTCCGCGTCTACGACGTGCACACCTGCAAGTAGGGAGCCAGGTAGGGTGCGGGGTGGGGGGGCAGAGCAGGGGCGGGCGTCAGCGCCTCGGCCTTTCCCGTGCGGTTGCACACGGCACACAGTTCCCGCAGCCAAGACAGGAAGTCGGGAGCTCCCCGGCTTCCCTGGGTGTGTTCCTTGGTGGGCTGCACAAAGCACCAAGGAGAACCGAGGGAACGCACACAGGCCACAAGCACTTGATTCGGATTAGTAAATTCCGAGCCGGACCCGAGCCGGACCCGAGCCGCTGGCCGGCATGGTGCGCACCTGTGGGGCTGGAAGCTGGCGGCCTCGCGTTTGGTTCCGACTTTGCCCCTGCATTGCTGTTCTTTTACGTTTTGGGACTCCTTGCTTACTGTTAAATGAGGGGGTTAAAAATACCTGAAACAGTGGACTGCGAAGTCTCGTCTGCCCCTGGGGCAGAGTCGTTCTGCATCCAGCTTGAATTTAAAGGCGAGTTTTCGCCCAAGCATAAATCGTGCTGACCTTAGGGAGGTGGGTGGGGGAAGCGCTGGCGCGGCCCGGATCCCACGGATCTGAAGCTTAGGTGCGGGGAGGAGCACCCTCGGCGAGTTTATGGATGGTGATTGGGAAGGAGGAGGGAGCGAGTTCAGAGTGACTGTGGTGAGTAATCGAGGATCAAAGGCGCTGGATTATGTTCTCAAGCTTCCCAGAGGTGGCCTGCGGGGGAGGCACTGTGCCCCGGCCCCTGGATCCACAGGACCCCAAGATAGGTCCGTGTGGATGTGGGGGGTTCCAGGAACCTCAGGCGTGTGACCCGAAGGCCCTTTCCTCCCCTTCTCTCCCCTAAGCAGGGGCCTAGTATGTAGAGAGGTGTGCGTGTGCGTGGGCTTCTGGAATAGCTTCTCCCACTGATTGCTCCAGGTTAGTGCTGTGAGGGGACAGAACTTGGTTTGCTGAAAAGTGCTTGCCTACTAGGTCCTAGCTGGCCAGGGCAGGTTAGGGTGGAGCGCCCAGCTCTGTGCTCTGAAGAGCTGGCGGGGGACGGGAAGAATCTGACATCATGGCGAGTAGCTCTGGTTGAGGGGCGCTTCCCAGCCCACTGAGAAGACCCTCGGTGCAGGCCAGCTTATGTCCCCGGTAGGGCGGCGTCCAGAGAGACAGTTGGGGTGCAGCTTTTCCTAGTTTGGGGATAAAGCAATCCGGGGAGGGGAAAGAGGACGAAAGTGAGCCCAGCGCCACCCCTTGGTGGCTGTGGTACCGTGGCTCCCGTTTTCTGGCCCTGCAGGGGTGGTGAGGAGCGAGGTGTGGCTGAATCGAGGCTCAGGTTAGCAGCTGCGAGGGCACCTGTGAATGCAGCACTGGTGGGAAGTGTGGTAAACGCCATCAGAGCCCTAACGGAGTGGCCGCTCTGCACAGGGACGGCACCACCAGCTGTGCAGAATGACAGGCAGCCGGTAAGAAGACCCAGGCCCCCTGTGGAACACCAAGGTAGAAGGAAGGGTAAAAACTACAGCAGTCGGCTGCCTCTGATGTCTGCCGCGGCCGGAGGCAGGCAGCGGTGTCCCCGCTACCACGTGACACGCAGCTCTGGCAGTCCGTCCCTCGAAGGGACGGGGAGCAGGGTGTTAGAATGCTAGCTCTGGGTGCGCCGCGAGGGCCGTGCGTCCAGCCTGTCCACCTCCCAGAAGGGCACTCTAGGAACACTGAGTTAGTGGCTGAGGCAGGGCCCGGGACTCTGCCCCCAGAAGCCCCCTGTGTAGGTTCTGCACAGGCCACAGCAGCCTTTACTCGATCCGTGACTCTAGGAGCAAAGTGTCCCAAATACAGCCTCCCGCGCCTCTGGTTTTTGTTTTTCTTTCTTTTGAGACAGGCTTTATTATGCAGTCCAGGCTGGCCTCAAACTCGCATGCATCTTCCTGTCTCAGCCTCCCAGGGCTGGGATTACAGGAGTGTGCTGCTATGCCCCACCGCAGCTCTGCTTTTGCCCCCACATGGGCAGCTGGAGCTCTGCCAGGCGGGGAAGGAGGGCTAGATTGGTGCTTGGTGTCTAGGAATCCCTTCCCCACGCTCTGATACCCCTACTAATACTGACCTACGAAGAATCAGGAGTGTAGCTCAGTGTCCCACTGGCGGAGTGCCTGCTTAGCATGCTGGAGGCCCTGGGTCAGTTCCCAGCAAAGCACACACGCACATACGCACAGGTCTGTGTTCTTCATCAGCCCGCTTTTCTCCCCACTGCTGAAAACAGTGCTTTTCCAGTGTTACACAAAGGACTACATAAACATGATTTCAAGACCCCACATCCACGTAGTCCACAGCCCCAGGCCCATCCTACCTGGCAACCTTGGAGCCCGCCTGTGACAACAGAGAACCGTGTCCCGGTGCAGCACCGTCGCCACGCACACTCGGCGTGTCCTGTGAACCTGGGCCAGCTCGTTTGTAAGCTAAGGCAGAGAGCCATGCCAGCCGGGCCATCCTACCCACGAAGAGCCTGGCCCGTGGTCCAGCGCCCATGGGGAGACAGCTGAGACACCCTGGCCAAGGAAGGCTGGCTGAGAGCGACTTCCCCAGTGTTGGGGTTCAGTCTGGAGCCCTAGGCCAAAGACTGGCTGAGCCTGTTATTCCTTTCCATCCCTGAATCCATATAGACACACTTCAGTGTGTGTGTTGCCGAAGTGGGCTCACGTAGCCCCTCTTTTCATGGGAACCCAAGAGAAGCAGCCATGGCAGGGCAGAGCCCCTTGCTTTCCTCTTGGTGATCGGTGTTGGTCTGGGTGGTTCAGGTAGACAAGGGAGCTGCAGAGCAAGCCTTGTACCCACTACACCTGGTGCCCTAGTTGGTGGGAGACCTGAGTCACCATGGCTTTATCCAGGAAGGGTGAGCCCTGCCTTGGTGCTTCCTGTGTGGGAGAAACACATTTCCCATTGCTTGCAGGTAGTTTTGTCTGGTGTCTTTAGTTAACCATTGATTTGGTATCTTAACACGGGTCTGAGTACCAGATTTATTCCTTGTAATAAACAGTGGGCCAGGCTCTTTGTGAGTAGGATGGCCCGGCTGACATGGCTCTCAGCCTTAGCTCACAAATGAGGTGGCCAGGGCTTGGAGGCAAGAGCTGGCCCAGATTCGCAGGACGCACCGAGTGGGCATGGAACCGGTGCTGCACGGGGACAGGGCTCTCTGTTGTCAGGGTGAGCTCCACAGGTGGGCCCCGAAGTTGGGCTTGGGGCTGTGAACTACATGGACATATGACTTTGATCAGTGGACTGGAAAAGCTGTGGATGAATCAAGTGGCCTGGCCAACCCAAGTCCTAGATCTGTCACTGACCCGCTGTAGGACCTTGGGAGCGTCTCTGTAATCCTGCTGTGCCTATTCTGGCTTCTGGAAGAGTCTTGTGTTGGCCCTGTAAGTTCCCAGAGGAGTCGAGGGCTGGCTGGGAAGGTCCGTGAAGTAGCTTTATGCCTCAAATACTTCATGAAATGGAACTATACAAATAATACACACATTGGTGCTCCCATGGGCATTATTCATAACTAGACTTTCCCTGGTTTGGACAGCTATGAAGCTACCTGGTGCCATACAGCAACGCAGTGCATGTTTGGTATCAGCCCACCACAGTCGGCAATTTGGGGATGGGGCTAGGTGCTCAGACTGGCAAGCTTTCTCCCAGTCTGTGGTCATCAAGAATGCCTGCGTTAGAGGGGTTACCAGCCACTGGCTTCCCGTGGCCTGAGACCCTCGGGTAGGAGTCCTGAGTGCTGTACCACTGAGCTACGTCCACAGCCCTTTTTATTTTGAGACAGTCTTGCTAAGTTGTTTAGGCTGGTCTCCAATTTGTAATTCGCCTGCCTCAGCCTCCCAAGTATCTGGGATTACAGGTGTGCACCACCACACCCAGCCAGCGGGGCTCCATCATTTGTAAACACAAGGGAAATGTTGAGATCAACTATTTGTGCTCAAAGGTGTGGTCTTCCTGGAAGAGGAAATAGGTTTCTGATTCTTCTTGTTCTCCCGAAGGGCACTGGGAAGGGGTAAAGTGTGCGGCTGGGCGGATTCACCGAAGCCCCACGGGAAGCAGGACCTAGAGCCAAGCCAGCGGTCATCATCTGCCAGCAAGGAGCACAGACTGTTGCCAGCTGCACGTGGTAAATGACCTGGACCCAGCCGGCCTGTGGCAGGAGGCTCCTCCCTCTCGCATCCTCCGTTCTCACCCTGCTCTGGTTGGTGTGTGGCTTTTACAGAGAGGCTTTCTTTTTAGTTCTCCAGGGTCTGGTAGCAGCAGACCCAAGGCTTACCTTTGCACATATTAAATAAAAAAAAAAAATCTGCTCCAACAGAACAGGCTGGGCTAATGTGAGCTCTCGGCCCGGTGGTAAACACATGAGCATGGGCAAAATGCTGTTTCCAAGCTGCTTCTCGTGGTGACGTTCCAGGATGCCTGTGGGGCGGGAGTCGGGAAGGACAAACCCCTGCAGTCTCCCCTTGTTCTGCTCCCACTCAAATCAGATACACTTTCCATTCTGATAAAAGCCATAGGTGTGGCTGGGATGCAGTGTGGGGGAGGTCCCCAGCAAACGCTCGAGGAAGATCTGAGTTTTGGAGAACTAGTTCTGGGTGGCTGTTTGAAGAGCAACTGGGTTCTCAGTCTCATTTTCTCTGTGAATGTGCTCTGCAGAGAGGCAGTCAGATGTTAACGTCCTTTTCCCTATCATTCTGCAGTAACTTCCTTGAGTGGACGTTGTACATAGATAGGTTATGTATGGGGCAAGTCTCCAGCTCACACGGCTTCGTACAGGAACTAGCAGTGTCTTTGGAAGGAGCTGTTCAATCCTTCCCAGCCCTGCCCACTGGCATTCTCCATAAAAGCAGCCCCAGATAGAGCAAGCGGACTCTAGGTCACCTTAGTATAAGTTAGACAAAGCAGCAAGAGCGGAACTCTCTACTGCAGTTCCAGTTTTGTGACTGGTCGATGGGAAGAGTGAAGGGATTCCTGTTTCGCTCTCCAGTAAAGATGGGGCTTCCTTCATTCTCTCCCCGCTTTGGTCTGTGTGAGTAAACAGAAATGCAGAGTTCTGTAACAGAGCTCTTCCCCCTCACCTGCATGTGAGATAGCATCAATTTTTGCAGTTACCAAGGATCTGGATTAGGTGTTCAAAGAGAGCAAGTAGTCACTTGTTCCTGGGGTGAAGCATTTCCCAGCTCAGTTCTCCTTGATGTACACTGGTCCTGCTGAGTGTCCCGGAGGAAGCTAGCCAAACGGAGGCAGATGGATTTAACAGTCTGGATCAATCCAACAGCTCTGTCTTACAGAGAATCAGAAAAGCAGACGCAACAGGGAAACGGAGCGAACAAAGATCTAACTTTCCTTCCATGTCTGGCATCTGCCTAACCATGACCTAAGACACTGGGTCAGCAATCTCCGGGTTCTGCAGGCAGGCTTGCCAAGATGGTCATCCGGGAGCCTGCCCACTCTCTCGAACCTGATGGCCGGGGGTCCTGCTGAAATAAACATCCCTACCCCTCCACAGAGTCTGAAATGTCCTCCTCATGTCACCGTAGACTGAACAGTTTCAAATTATGTCAACTGGATAATGCTTGCTTTATATGTGAGAATACTTCAGCAGAATGATACACATTTTTAAGTCTTTTCATATCTATGTATTCTATATTAAAAGTGATAAAGTCATGTTTCTGGGGCATATTCACGTAGCTGACAAGTAATTATTTAATAATAGTACATGAGTGCATTGTAATTATTCCCGCCGCCACAGCCAGGTAATAGCATCCAATGGAAACTTCCTACCAACCTGCTGTATCCAAAGTTTTGTAAAAAGTTGTAGAGGTTGTTGATCTTTTTGATTTTATATTCAAAAAGTCTTTTTATAAATATTATTTATTATACAATGTATATACCTTTGAGTTAACTAAGATTATATATTATATAAATATATATATATTTGGAGAAAATATATTTCATCATGCAGTTTTTTCTGTTAAAAGTCATTAAAGAGAAGGTAAAAAAAACTTAAAATGGATATACCGTACCATGTGTGGAGTGTTCAGATTCATGCTCAGGAGGTCAAGAATATGAATGTGTTGGCCCCAGCTAATTAAATGACCAAATTAAGGTCATTTCCTCTTGTTCCATAAGCAAAATCACCTGAGATATCATGGAGCTAGGACTGGTCTGCTATAGGACTTTCTTATGGTTTATTTTGGTTTTTGTCCACTTCTAAATGGGGAATTTCTAGTTTTAAAAGTAACCAATTTGGGCATTAATTCATCTCGTAGACTTCAGCACTTTCACCACACGCATCAGTGCCTAAGATACTCCTACGAGACGTGCCCCAGGGGGGGCAGACCGCGGGGCTGGGGACACCTCCGTCCCCTCCCCACTAGGCTTTCATGTCTCGGGAGTAGAAACGGCCTTTCCCGCTGGCTCCGCAAGCACTATGCTGTAGGAAAGGCAGGTTGCTTGGCAAGAAGACATGGTGTGCCCTTGGCTTTGGGTGGTCTAGGACCAAGAAGCCCTTGAAATTGCAGGTAAGTTTGAGCAGAGGGGCCTCCTGCTGTGCATGCTCTGGGGAAGGGCGTTCTGTCCGCGGACTGGGGTTTCAGAAGGACTCACCTGCGGGTCGCACACTCTGCCTCTAGTGATGGGAGGCTGTAACCCGGCTTTTACAACACACAGTTCTTTAGTTTTTCAGACTTGCCCATAAAGCGCCTCCTGTTTGTTTAGTGTATCACTTCAGAAAACAGCCAGGTTTTCTCTCTCTCGACTTACCTCTGTGAGGAACAGGTTTTATTTTATAGAAAAATAAAATCAGGAAGATGAAGCTGTCTGACTTGTGTGGAGGAGATGGCCTGCCTGTGTCACATCCAGGCCGCTGATCTGGGGGCAGAAATGGCCACTAGATGTTCATAAGCTTTGTCCAGGGCCTCATGCATGCTAGACAAGTGCTCTACCAGTGAGCTCCAGCTCCAGCCCTTTTTATTGTATTTTCTGAGAAAGGGTCTTGTTAAGTTGCCCAGGCTGGCCTTGAATATCTTCCTGCCTCAGCCTTCCAAGTAGCTGGGATTATAGGCATGTGTAATCGCACCCAGCAAAATTCATGGACTGTTTCTTTTAATGTGTCTTTATTTAGTCCCTGAAAAATCTCAAAACCCAAGAACTTATGCTGCAGGTATGCAAGGAATTGGATAAATAGAAGTAGTCCTTCCCATCTTATAGTACTGGTCACCTTTCACTTTTCCATAAGCTAATACTTATCTACCCTAGTATTCTGCTATTTTTTAACCTACAAGATTGCCAAATACTTAACTGCTCCTTATTTATCGTTAAGGAAGGCCATGTACAGTCCCAGGATTAACCATATTCTGTGACGAAGGAGAATCCAGTTTATACCTAGGCTTCAACACTAGTTTCTCCATCTAGTTTAGATTTCGACTATCTCCACTAGTTCAGTTTTATAAACATCTAAAGACAACAGGAAATTTAAAAAATCCAAAAGGAAAAGAATATACTGAGAAGGTATCTTCCAAAGCAATAAAGAAAGCAGAAGGGAAGCGATCTATGTGTGAGTTCAAGGATGAGATCAAATACAGGCAAAAGAAGGTAAGGAAAAACCTGAGAGAAGAAAACTCGGTTTCACGCAGCGGTCCTGAGTGGAGAGACTTACACTAATGTGCATGGTGTACACACAGAGGCAGTCAGTTCAGCACAAGTATGGCTGCTCTACCACCATCACTCTTAGCTCAACAGGAAACTTTAGGAAGCAAACGTTTGTCTTACCACTAATCTTACACTCCCCAAACTGATAGCAAGTCAGCTGTGCGGGGATTTTGTGCTAGGGAAATCTCAAACACCGGTCTTTCTTGCAAATTCTGTCCTCCCCTACTTGGGATTCTTGCCAGGCAGAGACACGATCCCTGCATCTTAGTGCCATGGGTCTGCACAGCGCACCCCCGCCACGGGCTCGTTGCAGACCCAGTCTCAGCATGGTTGGCCAGCTGATGAGAAACCAAAGTTCATTTTGCAAGAACTACTGCAATTTACACGCTGTTTTGAACTCTCAAACACATCTCGTCCCGTCACTGAGGAGCCTATGGACCAAGCTGCCAAGCAAGGAAGATGAAATCCCACCTTTGCCTTCTCTGGGTTTGGTGGTGTTTTCTAACTGTCTCAACGCTTCAGAAAGTCTGTGGATCGGGATCTGATTACACACACTTCAGTCTACTCCATCATTTTGTGATGTGTGGCTGAAACTAATTTTTAGACTGTGTAAAGATAGCTGAAAGCAAAAACATTTCAGGTATTAACCAAATTACAGTTTTTCTGTACTATATTAAAAAAGAGTTCTTCAGTGAAGATGTAATTAAGCAGGATAAAATAACTTCTTCTGAAGTTACTGGTTAAATTCACCAATACATGAAGAACTCATAAGGCAGCTAGAGCTCCGGCTGTGCTACAGGGCCATGCTGCACAGGGAAGCACTCCACAAGGGTTCTCTGTCCACAGTTCGTGGGGCGCTGACCCCACTGTCAGAAGTTTTTTGTTTTTTTTTTTTTTAATTTTTTTCTGGCACTGGGAACTGAACTCACGACCTTGCACTCGCCAGGCAGGCGCTGTGCAGCTGAGCTAAACCCCCAGCCCCAGTCAAAGTTTTTGAAGTTGGTCTCTTCCCTGCGGAGCTTTGCTGGTTTTCTGGGGGGTGCATCTGCCCTAACCCGAGTCAATGCTGAAGATCAGGGTTTAGGCCAAGATCTGATGGCTCAGAAAAACTATGAAGGACACCAAAATGAACCATGGGAAGAAACCTCACTGCAGCTGCCCCTGGGTTTATACATTCCACAGGAAGGAACAGTTCTGAGAAAAAGCTTCCCTTTTTGGTGTTTTACACAGTCGATGGCTGCGTAATTACCTCAACTTTTGTGTAACGCAGAAGCGTGTTTTAATATGCTAACAATTTTTCTTTTTAAATAACCATACTTTCTAAGTGGACTTTTAAATAAAAAAAACCATCCATCTCCTTATGATGTAACAAAACACGGGGGGGGGGGGTGTTCTTTTCTTCATAAGTTCCTATTAGTAATCTTTGTTTTGTATGAAGTATTGCTCTACAGAACATGTTCAGGTACATTTACTCTTTATTGCATTCCTTCATTTGCAATAAATAATATTTATCTTTTCAATATAGTTCTGGACAAAACACAAAGACGTGAACCTGATTTAACACGAGACACAAGTTCATACAGTGTGTGCTGCTTCACAGAAAGGGAAAGGCAAGGCCGCAGAGACGGAGTCCAGCACACTGGCCACCAGGAATCATAAAATTCACAATGTAACCCACTGTTTTAAAAGCTACAAAATAAGCTAGGGATGAAAACCCAAAGGGATACAGAGAGCAAGATTTGGAGACGACTCGCCTTCTGCTGTGAGGACAGGTGACAGAGCCACACCCAAGCGCTGCTGCGGCCGCGAGCCCCTCACACGGTGTGTGACTCAGGCACTTAAGACGGCTTCCGAGCGCCTGTCCCCCGGTGTTAACAGCGGCGGGGAGCGGCATGCTCTGCAGACGTCATCACACACGATGACCTGATTAAACTGCTTCTCGTTCAATGATGAGCCATCACCTTCAAGAGGACTCGATGGGCTCTGCTACCCTTCGAAAGGAACGTGTGGAGGGGGAAGGGAGAGCCCTGAGACCACCTGGATGAAGCACTGCTTTCAGGACACGGATGTGAAAGCGGTGTTGAGGAGAGTGGGCTAGAAAGTGGTTTGGTTTTTGGAGAACAGTGTTTCATTTTCCTGCCAGATAGCACGGGTAATTTAAAATACAGGAATGACAGATTCTAAGTAAGTCATTGGGCTAAGGAAAAAATAAAAGCGGTAATACTAATAAGCCTTTAATATTATCCTAAGGAACTGACCCACTTAAGAGTTGGACACTAATTAGTACTGACAGGTTAGTAAATTATTTTATTTTAATAACTCCTTTCTGTTTAGGGGTGCACATTTTTCCATACATAAAGTTTTTTTAGCAGTATCTCCAAGTGGTAACGATTAGCATATCTCTCACTACAGAGCACATTAATTACACCGAGGGGATGTCACCGCCAACACAGTAATAATTGGACTTTCTTGTAAGAAAGGTCTCCTGATTGCAACCTGGAAACATCTTTGAAAAATGAGTGAAAGTGCGATCTTGGATATTCAAAGCCCTGTTTCTTCAGGCAAAGAGAATAACCTATTTTGAGGGGAACCGTTAGCTGATGCCCAGTTACCCCTGGTGTTAGCACGGGGAAGCCGGGACAGAATCCCTCAGAAGCCACACTCTACTCACTGCTCGCTGTTTGCACGCGGAAGTCTTCCTTCTAAGAGGCCAAGGGTTGTTGTGCAACATTCATTACACACAGCGGAGGCTGTGGATGAGTGGTGCTGGTACGGAGCTTTAACTGTGTAGTGTGCACAAATACAGTACGTCTCCCACACACAGATTCTGAGTAAGGAGGAATCGCCTTAGCTTGTACGGAAAGGTAAGCACAGCATTCTAGAGCAAGTTTACACCTTCCACAAAGCACTAGAGTATCTCAGTAAGCACAAGGAAGGGAGAATTACTGCATTAATCATGCAAAGCGAGCGAGCACATGTTGAAGGAGGTTCACGGAGCCCAGGGTCTCCAGCACTGAGTGAAGATTCCAGGCTGTCTTCGCCTTGGTCCCGTCCCTTGGTCACTGTGTTGCAAGGAGTGCACTGTCAAAGTCAAGGGGGCTACTGCAAAAGAAACACCCAGGAACCAAAGTACATGAGCACTCGTGGAAAGTCACTCGGCGTGAAATCACTAAGAGTTGCTTCATGTTTTACCTATATTTTTCACTATGCATTTGCAAAAGAATAGTCACAGCTCCATGCATTTAAAAGCAGGTTCTAATAAATATGTACCATCAAATTTTTTCCTGCATTCTGACAAGGAAGTTTTGCGAAGCAGGACAGGGAGAGCAAACCAACAGAACAACCAACTTCCTTGCTTGGTCTCTCAGACCTACAACACAGGGAAGAATTCTAATAAAAGGAAACCAAGTTATCTAGGAAAGAAACTGTTAAATTCACATACAGTGTGTGCCACTCTTAGGGCAGGCACTGGGATTGGACAGAGTGGGGCATTTAGCTGGCAGTCTCTGCTTCGTGTACTTACGCTCCTTCTTCTCTTAAGAGGGCCAAGAACTTTTTCACGCGGTACTCAGGATCCATCTAAATACATTCAAAGAAATAAAAAAGACAAGTTAATGGTGCCTTCTGACCACTATGCTCTTACTTCATGGAAATGCACCAGGGAAATGCTCGGTTTCATACTTCCAGCAGTCCTCCCCTGAGTCACAGAAGTATGTCACCTGCTCCTTAGCTGTGATTTGCCACGTAACTAAGCGGTTATGTCATCTAAGCAAAGGAAATGGGACCTCCCAACATGGAGAACTGCTGTACACAGGGTGCAAATGACCCGACCCACTCGTCACGGGCACCTCAGGCAAATGTTCCCTCAGCCGGCGCTGGTGCAGAGGCACGGCAGACCTGCGAGGATCACGGTGACACCAACCTGTGGTCACTCGTGGCAGTTCAATTCACAGGACTAGGTTAAGGGTAGACCAAACTTAAAGAAACCACGCTGAGATTAATGAAACAACCACAACACAGCTTCTGGCCGCGATATAGTCAGCTTAAGCTTGCTTCAGCCCAGGGCCCCTGGCATAGTCTCTTCTGCAGTGACGGAAAAGCTGTGCTGCAGAGAAAACAGTGAGGAGTGCTGCAGGCCCCGGTGTGCTCTCGGGTGACCGAATCTCTACGACTGGGTCAGGGGTCCAAGAAAAGACGGTGGGGCTGACTCAGGTGCTTGGTTCAGATTAGGATCTCAATTTTCATTCTATATTCATATTTCTATTAATTTGTTAAAATATATTTTATACCACAGATGTGAAGTTATCTAGAAAACCATCATTAAGAGTACCTTTAAATCACTGAGATGAGTTTTTATTGTACGAAGCACATCTCACTTCTAAAAGCTGTTCTGGGTAGAGCCCTGCTCCCAGAAGGGAACTCCCTGCCCTCCAGGAGTAGCTTTCAGACTCTAAGTGCAGCTGTGGTGCGTGTGCAACTGGCTTCCCCACTCCAACCCCCTATTATTACTTTTTAAAGACTTTTTTCTCTTTACCCCAGAAAAACATTGGACATAAGTTTCAAATGTATCACCGTTAAGAGGTCAGGCTATAAAGAACTAAGAAAAAGTACGAGCTGCTAACAAAAGGAACGTTTTCCTCTTTGGGAATAGAATTACATATGAATCAATTGTCAAGTTCTTTTTAAAAAATGGAACTGGCTGGAGCTCAGCTGTAGTCAGTACTTGCAGGCCTTTGCCCATTAAATATATTTAATATGTGTGTGAGCAACGACTTACTGGCTTGCCTGTAGCTATGGAATTAAAAGTCAAGAGAAAGGGAGGAAAAAAGTAATCTAGATAAATGACTTTATTCCCTCAGGTGACATCCAGTCAGAGCAGATCCTCAGCACTGTGCAAGTTTTAACAGAATTGTGTACGGCGAACAGAGAGGGAACATGACTTACATTCTGCTAAACTACATGCCTCGTCACTCAGGCTCAGTCTCCGTGAGGCAGATCTAAAGAGAAGCCACTCAGCTGCACAGAATCCATCTGACATGAAGGGGCTCCAACTCAGAGCCTATGAAGTGTCAGCTGCTCCGGAGAAGGTCTGAGTGCCCCTCTCTCTCTACCCCACTTGTGTAAGAGGCACTGCCTCCCTCACTGGCCTGCAGGCATCAAAGAAGAGGAAGGGAAGGGTGGGAGAGGAAAACCCACAGAGTTTATTCTGCGCAGTTATGGAGAGAAAAGTGTGCTGAAACTAGGAGAACAAGACGAGAGCTGACTTTCTGACGGATTTATCTTTTTCTCAAGGAAAGAGCCCGTGCACCTGTTTGTGGACCTTTATCAGAAATAAGCTCAATCAAAGTGCTTCATCTGTGACGAATTTATTGCTCATAATGGAAAATAAACTGTCTGACAGTTCAGTAGACTGAGGTTTTTGAAAACTGCAAAAATGTTCTTTAAACTAAGTTTTCCAGGAAGGGTTAAACAAGCATTCACTTCATGGTTCAATTCTGTGACTGGTTTAAGAGCCTCTTTCGGATACAATCATAACTGCCTGACCTTTCTCTCTGCCCCGGACTGCTCACGCTGGCCAAGGGGAGAAACTGCTCAGCGATGTGCAGTGCGTTACTGCCCATCCAAGTCTGGGAGTCATCCATTCACTTGTTTGTTCACTTAATAAAAGCTTACTGAGCACCCTACTATGCGTCTGTTCCAGGCACTGTGGCTAGTGAGGGCCGTGTTGTCTGGAATCACACAGCTTGGCAGGGATATACTTATTGAGTATCTCAAATGGGGCCCAGAACACATAGGACTGGCACACAGAGCCATGGAGGTCCAAAAGGAGGAAAGGTCAAAAAAAAAAAAAAAGGAGGAAAGGTCAGTTGCCAGTAGTAGATCAAGAAAGTCACAGAGAAGTTTCATCTGTCTCTTTGCAGGCAGCAGGCTTAGTCTTCTATGAGATCTTGGATGCTTTCATGCTACAGTAACTTGAAAGAAATTTCTAGAAGGCCAGTAAGGGGAAAATACATAGAGGCCAAGTCTAGTCTATAGCTCAGTTAATTAGTCCCTTACAGCAGTCTCCCAGACCTCCGCTGGTACAGTACACTAATTTACTGCCCTCTGGTGACAATACTACCCCTCTTCCCCCATAACTGCCTATGTGATACTGGCTCATTCACGGATAACCTGTTGGACACACAGTACCTGCATCTCTAAAACAAGGGGGCAGCTAAACAACTGCTCCTTAGTGACTCCCTAAATTAAACCTAAAAGTAACTTTTTTTTTTTTTTTTTTTGGTCTTTTTGAGACAGGGTCTCGATATGCAGTTCAGGCTGGCCTTGAGCTCACTTTGTAGCCCAGGCTGGTCTTGAACTCACAACGATCCTCCTGCCTCAGCCTCCCGAGTGCTGG